CGCACACGCCGTAGGTCCACCTGCCCGGCAGGTCCAGCCAGTCGATGTCATCCCCCATGGGGGTGGCACTGGGGGGCTCGGGAGCGGGGCGGCTCCGGGCTGGGACAGCGCCCGGCTCGGGAAGCGCCAAACGACTCCCAGCCCGTCTCCCCAGGAGCGAACCCTTGCTCGGCTCAGACCTTCCACCCGGGCTCTGTTTGCTGCAAATAACCCAGGAGGGAGGGAAAAGGGAAAAAAAAAAAAATTCCCAACCAGCCCCATGGAGTTTAACCCCCTCGGAGCCGGGCTGCCACCCTGCCTGCGAGGAGCAGAGGGCACCCTCCCAGCTCTCCTGATGACTCTGCAGGGCCAGCCCGTCACAGCTTCCTCCACTGCCTACTCGGGGTAATTACCATCCATTAACTCAAGGTGAGTAATTATGGAGTCGTTACTTCCCTCTCCTCTGTTCATTTTAAACAATGTCAGATTCTTCTGCCCCGTCTGATCTGGCGGCCAAGCCGTATGTAGGGCACCCTGATGATTATCTGCGGCACTTTGGGAGCTGCCCGGTGGGTATTTTCTCTCTGCCGGTCCTTAGCCGGCAATTAAACGTCTTTCAAGGGGAAAGGTGGGGTCTGGGAGGCACCGGGGCTGCTGAATGAAAGAGGCAATTGCCCTCCTGCCTCAGCGGCGCCTTTGCAAAGCTCCTCGTGGCACCAGGAGGAAGAGGCTGGTTCAGGAGGGGCCTGAGAGCGAAAAAGAAGGAGTTGGTTCCCAAAGGAGGGAGGAATCAGAAAGGTTGGAAGGTCCAAGGTCAGGTTCAACCTTTGCCCAAGCACCACCACGGGCACTGAAGCACATATGGCAGAGGAAGGGGCTTGTCCTGCTGAGCCGAAGCTCAGTCCCCACATCAGAGCAGCTCCCTGCCAGGATTTGGGGAAACCAGTTCCCCGAAAGCTTTTCCTGCAGTTCTTTGAAGCACTGGGTGAGAAAAACACGTCTGGTTAGTCCCGGGGAGCCCATTGGGAGAGCACCCCACGGGACCCTGGCGATGCCACGGCGCTGGGCTTTGGCTCCCCTGGAGAAGCTCCTTTCCCTGGGAGAAGCTCCTTTCCCTGGGAGAAGCCTGGCTGCAAATCCATGGGCTGAGCTGCCATCCTGCCCCTGGACGTGAGCACCTGCTCAGCCCCCCACACCTGCAGATTCAGAGCATGACTCACCAGGAGCATTTTGGAAGGTGGATTGGGCTGGGTTTGGGCTGACTGGGGCTGGCCCCGGTCCAGGGTCAGAGCAGGGAGTCACCACCCTTATCTTGTGACCATCCCTGAACCCACTGCTGAGCAAACCTCAGCCAGCACCCCATTAATGCCCGGCCAGGGGAGCTCCCGATGTGCCCCGAGATTGGGGAGGTCACGGAATCACCCCGGGGAGGGGCTTCTGCTTCCACCCCACCCCTGCTCCATAGGGGCCACGCTCCAGAGCCAACCCACAGGCAAGGAATCCCGTGGGCAAACCTCAGGAGCACACCAGCAGCTCCCTGTGGTGCTGCTCCATCCCAGGGCAGCGCCAAACCCGGGGAAGAATCTCCCACATCCACCTTTGGCATCGTGGTTTCCGAGGAGTCTCCAGAGCCAGCCCTGGCCAGAGATGGTTTGTGGCACGTTGGGCTCAGGGCAGGGATGGTTTGATAAAGTCAGACACAGCAGGAGGCTGTTCCTGAGCTGCCCTAATCCTATTTCGGTGCTGGGGAGGCTCTGTGGGGATAACCACGGAGCTCCTGGGATTTGGCACTGCAGGGATAACCATGGAGCTCCTGGGATTTGGCACTGCAGGGATAACCATGGAGCTCCTGGGATATGGCACTGCAGGGATAACCATGGAGTTCCTGGGATATGGCACTGCAGGGATAACCACGGAGCTCCTGGGATACGGCACTGCAGGGATAACCACGGAGCTCCTGGGATTTGGCACTGTAGGGATAACCATGGAGTTCCTGGGAACACTGGCTCCTCTGGCTCCCCCTGCCCCTGCAGTGGCTCAGGGTTGGGGTTTTCTTCACAGAATCATGGAATGTCCTGAGCTGGAAGGGACCCACAAGGATCAAAGTCCAACTCCTGGCCGTGCACAGGACACCCCAAAATCCCACCCTGTCCCTGAGGGCATTGTCCAAACCCTCCTGGAGCTCTGGCAGCTTTGGGGCTGCCCTGGGGAGCCTGCTCAGTGCCCCACCACCCTCTGGGGGAAGAACCTTCTCCAGAACCCAATATTTTGTCCCTGTAGTGCTGTGTCAGGAGCTCCCTGTGCCCTGTCCTCACCTTCCAGCCCAGGGCTAAACCTCTCCAATTACCCAGAGTGTCCTCCCAGGTACCTCCAGGGAATGTGGGATCAGGGGCCATTCCAGGTGAGTTCATCTGATCCTGAAAGATTTCCTTCCTTCTCCAGTAACCCCCAGGGAGGGATGCATTTCCCTGACCATGCATATTCCCAGAGTCCCCCTCACTTGTCCATGGGAATTACTGGGAATGGACTCACCAGACACATTGGGAAGGAGGAGTGATTCATGCTGAGGTTCTTGGAGGGCTTTGTAGGACCTTCAGCCAACAACCCCGAGCAACTCCAGGCTCTCTCCTGCCAGGTAAATAAATCAGCTTTTATTGCTTTCCACGAGGGAATTTTTTCTCCCCCTATTTCCTTCTATCTTAATCCAATGGAAATTCAAAGGGGAAATACCAGTGGGGCTTTTTGTTTTCATTTGGTTTTAAAGTCCTTTTAAAAGCTGCCTGTTCCCAACCAGCCAGGTTGGGGAGCAAAGGGGACAGCAAGAGGCACTCACCGAGGCTTTCCTTGCAAAACCACCTGGATTCCCTGTTTCTGAAGATTCCAGGGAGGCTCCCACAGGACTGGGCACCACCCCCTCCCCCTGTGCGCCGTGTCCTTCCTTTAGCAGGGATATGGGGGAATCCCAGAACGGGGAAGAGACCCTAAAGCTCATCTCATTCCACCCCCTGCCATGGGCAGGGACACCTTCCAGTGGACCGGGTTGCTCCAAGCCCCGTCCAACCTGGCCTGGGACACAGACGCTGGTTTGGGCAGGATTTTGCTCCCAAAGTTCCAGGAGCAGCCACCTCCTCCTCCTCCTCCTCCTCCATCCCCACAGCGCCGAGCCTTTGCTCGGGGCCGCGGTGGGACCACGTGGAGAACAAAGGGCGGAGGGAGCGAAACACGCGGAAAAAGGGAGGGAAACACGCGGCAAAAGGGCCGTGCGGGGTGACGGGGCACGGCTGTGACCGGCTGCGGGCAGGGAGGACACCCGGTGACCTCCCTGCCAGGGCAGCACACCCGGCCGGGGAGGTTTCCTGCCGGATCCCCGCGGGTCACGCAGCAGGAATGTCACCAAACCGGGCGCTCCCGCGCACAAAGGGAGGGTTGTTGCTCTCGCCTTGGGTTTGCCCATCCCAGAGCTCATCCAGGGCAAGGCGGAGGAGCACCTGGGAGGGTGGGAGGGACGGGGGGGGCAGCCAGGGACACCCTCAGCGGGGTGGTGGCCCTGCCAGCGTCGCTGGCTGCGCGTCCCCTCTGCCGCACAGTTCTGGCACCATCTCCTGGACAAAAACGTCCCAGGAACAACACCGGGAATGCAGCTGCAGGATGGGGGCGTGGAGGGAGGCAGGTGCCTCAGCCGAGCCCAACTGATGCTCCCTGAGATGTGCGTTGTCCCCCTCCCCACCACAGAATCACGGAATGGTTTGGGAGGGACATTAAAGATCTCCCAGTGCCACCTCATTCCATGGGCAGGGACACCTTCCACTGGCCCGGGTTGCTCCAGCCTGGCATTGGACACTTCCAGGGATGGGGCAGCCACAGCTTCTCTGGGCAACCTGTGCCAGGGCCTCCTCATCCTCACAGGGAAGAATTTCCTTCTACCAGGTTGCTCCAAGCCCTGTCCAGCCTGGCCTTGGACACTTCCAGGGATGGGGCAGCCGGCTTTTCTGGGCACTCTGTGCCAGGGCCTTGCCACCCTCACCAGACCACGGCCTGACCCCGTAACTTCCCACTGTCCTCTCCTCCCTCCACACTCATCCCATCCACCCGCTCCGAGGTCCCAGCCGGGCACCCACCTGGGGGCACAACAGCTACCCCCCCACAGTGCCCCACAATCCCGGGATCTCTGCTCCCTCTTGGCTTTCCCAGAGCCCAGGGGTGACCCGGTGGAAGAGCTGCTCAGCACAAGCACTCCTTGCCGGGGGGCTGCTCATAATCTGCTGGATGGTGCCAGGGAGCGCCGCTGCCGGGGCTGCTCCTTCCCGGCTGGAACACCAGAGCCCAGACACCCGGACTGGGAGCAGATGTTTAACAGCCTCTTATCACCAGTAACCCCAGTAACACGTTTACCAGCAGGCACAGCAAGCCAGCGCTCCCACATCCAGCCCGGCACTCCAAAGCCTGGTTTCCATAGCTCCCGGAATCCGGCGTGGAGAGATGCCAGCAAAACATCCCTCCCGCTCCGGAGCCGGAGTCTTTTTAACCTGCCCCTGCTTCCCCCTCTGCCAGAACCTTGTTTCACCTCAGACCTGGCCTAAATTACCTCAGGAACACGGAACAGCCCGGACCCAGACGTGGGGAGCGTGACAAGGAACGGGGAGAGGTGCTGAATCCAAATGTCCCGCTGGGTCTTTGTTTCTTCCCAGCACAAAGGCCTTTCTCTTCCCAGAGACCTGGGCCTGTATCCCAGTATCCCAGTGTCCTGGCTGCTGGCTCCAAGGGCTGTGCTTTACATGCAGAAAGGGGACGGTTGGCACCAGTTTTCCATTCCTGATGAGGTGCCTTTTCTCTTGGGATGGGGAAGGAAGCTGGGATGAGGAGGAAAGCAGGGATGAGGAAGGAAGCAGGGATGAGGAAGGAAGCAGGGATGGGGAAGGAAGCAGGGATGGGGAAGGAAGCAGGGATGGGGAAGGAAGCAGGGATGGGGAAGGAAGCAGGGATGGAGAAGGAAGCAGGGATGGAGAAGGAAGCAGGGATGGAGAAGGAAGCAGGGATGAGGAAGAAAGGAGGGATGGGGAAGGAAGCAGGCTGGTGCTTCCCACAGGCCAAGGAGCAGCTCACACTGGGCTCTCCAGAGCAGTTTAAACACGCTGCTTCCACCACCCAAATCCCACAGACCCATCCAGCATCAGAGCCTTGTTTTCCAAGCAGGACCTTTCTTGGCTCTGGAGCACCAGTGGCAGGTGCCTTCCCTGCACAGGTGTTTAGGCTTGGCTAAAGGTACAACTCCAACTGCATCCAGCAGGAATTTATCCCCAGCAGCTTCCCTGTACTACCTGGTGGGCAATTGCAAGCCAGGTTTGTCTTGGAATCAGTGAATTGTGCCGAGAAAAACCTCCTTTGGCACAGCTGCTGGGACATTCCGAGCCCATCCTGCCGGAGCCAGATGCTCCACACAGCACATTCCCGCAGCCAGGGATTTCGTTGGATTAAAGAAAGCAGGTTTAGATGGGATATTAGGAAGAAATTCCTCCCTGTGAGGGGGGTGAGGGGCTGGAATGGATTCCCCAGGGAAGCTGGAGGGGTGGGGAAGACAGTTCCTGCATAAGCAAAATGCCAACGTGCCATCCCAAAAATCTGACAGGTACGGAAAGCAACGCCCATCCAAGGGGCGGATAAAGGGGATAAAGCCAGGGTTTTATCCCAGCATTCCTCAGGGGGCACGTGGATGCTCCTCATGGCTCTGACACTTTATACCCTCCAGACTAATGCACAGGTTATGCACAGCTTTATCCCTCCTGAACAGTGGAATAAACCTGGGATTAAATCCCAGTTGGAGCCCATGAGGCCGAGGCCGCGCAGCTGGAATGCTGGGCTCTCCCTGGAATCCCTCCTGGAGCCACCCAGAGTCTCTGCTCCTGAAGAACCTGGTTCCTGGGGGGCCAAAGCAGCTCCCCAGAAGCACCAACGTGCAGAACTCCCGAGTCCCTGTGCCCTGTGGAGAAGGAAGAGCAGCAGAGTGGGAATAATCCTCCTCCAGCATGGATAGATCGGCTGAACTCCAACTGCTGAGGGGAGGAAGGAGCCCCAGCAGGATTCCCGTGTTCCAGAAGGCATCTGGACGTGCTGCCAGCCCAGGGAGCTCTCCCTGCACACCCACAGGGGTCTCTCCAAGCTTTTCCAGGGAGTGCAGGAACCCCAAGGCTCCTTTGAGGGCAGGTTTTAGACCCAGCAGGTGACCAGGACTTAAAACACCAAATCCCCCCCTGGAGCTGGGATGTTCCTCACATCCACCTTTGCTCAATACTGCAGGAAGATCCAGCTTTTCCCTTGTCTATTCCACAAGTTTTCCACCCTGATGCTCTCAGAGAAACCAATCCCTCACTGGGGTGTTTTAGGGATGCCCAGACAAGGTGGAACCCTGGAGGAACACGTGGATTGGGCTGGAAAAAGGGAGCAAATCAGTTCCACAGTGAGCTTTAGGGAATAAACTGAATAACCAAAACCTTAAAATCCCACCCCAAAACTCACCCTGGAGGTGTGACCACACGTGGCCTTTGAACTCATTCCCAATTCCAAGGGCAGGACCACACTGTTCCTGAGGACACTGATCCCTGTTCCAGAGGGATCACAATCCTGACACCTCCCATCCCCTGGGAAGCCCTGGAAAAGCCAATTTGTGCCCCCAGGCACCTCCAGTTCTGGGGTACAGAGCCCACCTTGGTCCATGCAGCACCTCCAGCCTCCTCCTTCCTGCCAGGAATTCTGGCTTCACCCTCAGGAGCCAAAAGGAAGGCATTCCCTGTAAAAAACATGGAGTGACAGACACACCTTTCCACAACAATCAATCCATCCCTGCTTTTTCCAGCCACCCCATGAGTCTTTCCAAAGCAACCCAATTATCTTGCAAATATCTTTATTACAATTTACAGATTAGTTCTGAATAGTTTATTATGTACAGAAATAGAACTTTAGATATAAAAACCCAACAAACTCGACACAAATCAAGTAAAATCTGTATAAAGCCAATGCTGAAGGTTTTCTAAGTTTTCTCTAAATTATACAAAAATAAAATCTGCTCATCACAGTTTTGATTTAAAGTCCTACAAGTGTTATTTTTACTGTCTCACCCCAAGCACTGACACATGGACACGGCCTGAACGACCAGTTTAAGGAATTTTCTAGGGAAGAAAGGGTGACACCGAGTTCTAAAAGATGTTTATGGTGATGAATTTAGTGTTAATTCCCTCTCACCTTACACTGGATCCTTGGAAAACGTGAGGTTGGAGCAGTGGAAAAGCTCACCCGAGCAGGTGGGAAGCAGCAGTGGGAGTGCTGGACACACTTCAGGATGGGTAAAAGCCATTTTTCCAGTGTTTAAGCACTTTGGGAGCAGCAGTTGTTGATCTAATTTACCCATAATTTATCAATTCTGTTTGTTCCCAGGGACAGGTTTTTCCAAGGCTTTTTGCAGGTGTTCATTCCCACCACTCCAAAGCTCCTCACAAAGCACCAATAAAAACGAGCTGTCCACGAAAAACTGAAGCACCAAGTTCTCCAAGATCAAAGACATTGGGAAATTCATGGAAAAAGGGCTGTAGTGTGACTTGCCAGGAGCAGCAGGTTTGTACTGATCACACTGACCATAAACCAACAAATCCCTTCTAATTCCACGTTTATCACCCCTTTTCCCTAAGCTGAAAAGCAGATCCAACATGAGACAGCAAAATGGGCTCCTAGAAATTCCGAGATGATTTCCCAGGATTTGAGGGCCTGATCAGAATTTACAATTTCACAGCTGGAATTTTTTTGTAGGAAAAGAGAATCAAATTTTTTTTTTGGGGGGAGGGGGAAGATGGAAACCAACATTGCTGCATTGCCTTCATGCAGCCCCTCTGAAATGCTGCAGGAATTTTTGGCTGGATTTGAAGTTTACACAACTCTGCTGTAATTCAGCAAATCCTCTGAATTTTCTAAGTGCAAACACAGCAAATCAATTTTTAAAAACCTCAGAAGTGCAAGGAGATTAAAGCATGAAGCCAAAAAACTCGGAAATTTTTGAGTCAGAATTAAGACCTGGCCAAAATGACCCCACAGCAAAGCAGAAAGTAAAGCCCTGGGGAGAAGCTTTTCCCTCCAGGGAGCTGTGATTTTTCTTGCAAATTAAAAACTGAAACGATTCATCACAAATTTAAAGTACTTTTAAGGTTTCTCCCCTACAAAAGGGAAATGATTCTGCTCAGCTGAACAAACAAACAAACCAAGCAGCAACTCATTTATTTTTTTCACCCATTTTGGTGCAAACAGACAGGAATTCTTCCAGTTTGGGGCTCTGGGTGACCTCACACCTGCTTGGCCAACAGGTCCAAACACCCCCCTCCAACAGTGCTGCTCTTTATCTTAACTGAACTAATTCAATATTTGAAGTTAGGAATATAAATCAGGAGTGCTGTCCTTCCACCAAGGAGCTCAGCTTTCCACAGGTGGAATGTTGTTTGTCCCAGGTGACCCAGTGCAGACACACAGAGTGTTAATACTGGCTTTTGGTAAAGAACACGGTGATTTGCTGCCTTCAGATTTCCTTAAATCAGAGATAATTCTCCTTAAAAGTACCAGAACAAGCAGGCTGGATACAAGAATCCACCACAATCTCTATTTTAAAGCAGAATTATAGCAAAGTTATTCTTAGAGTAAATAAATAATTAGGGACTAGTTCCCTTGCGTGGCTCCCTAAATTCAAACATCACCCACAGCCTCCACGTGTGCCTTGAAGCTTTAATTATTGATTGGGATGAGAAACTTCCCTGCCTTAAAAGGCAAGAAATGTGGTGCACAAGCAGCCAGAACCCTCTGGAATAGTCCTGGCTCAAGGTATTATTTAAATAAGTCAAACCAAAGGGTTTGTGATGCACCAGAGCTCCCCCAGTGTGCCTGACTGAAACATTGACATCAAAATGCTACATAAACACTCAAAACACTGGATTCCATGCAAAACTGGGATCTAGAAGGAGGGATTCACACAGTTAAGTCAAAGTTATTAGAGAACAACATGTGAGACTTTTGTACAAGGTGGAGAACAACGAGAAAACACCACGACTCTCGGGAAACTTTAAATCAAAACTGCAATACCAGGGGCTGAGCCCCATAAATATCTCCTTCAAAATAGGTTTTGCTTTTTTTTCAAAGTGCAAAAATCCAACTAAACAGTCACCACTTCCCAACAGACGGCAGACAAGGCATTTTTTTTTTTTTTGGAATGCATTTCACCTAAAGCAGTCTGGGTGTCAAGTGTTAATCAAAAGGAATGAGACTGGACCACTCTCACCCTCCAGGATTTCACCTGGATATCAAAATGGGACACTCAGGGATATTTGCAGGCTGAATACACAAAAACTGGGACAATTCCAATCCCACTTCTCTCCCCATTCCAGAATAGCACATGCAGCTGCCACTTCTTGTGTAGGTGTTCATGGGTGTTTTAGGGTCACACAGCTAAGGTGGGGTAAGGTGCTAGAAGGGATCAACCCTCTGGGAGGAGCTTTCCTGGAGTCTGTGGAATACTCTCTGTCTATGCTCTGAGGTGAAGCAGTATCCTATGGCTTCCTCTGTCTCCTGGATCCGTTTCTGGAACCTGCATCCATCTCGTGCCATCTCCTCCCAGGGTCCTTTCCGATCCTCCTCGCTGCTTATGTAATACTCAGTCACTTTTTCAAGGAAGGTGACCTGGAAAAAGCAAGTTATTTAGTAAAGAGTTCACCACTCGTGCAAAAGGAACTTCACATTTTTACGTAGATTGTTTGTTTTTTTAAAAAACAGAAGTTATTAAACACTTTGAATAGCAGAAAGCCTCAGAAACCTGTTCAGAGAGTAGGTTTAGTGGGATACTGGGAAGGAATTCTTTCCTGTAAGGGGGATGAGGGGCTAGAATGGATTTCCCAGAGAAGTTGTGGCTGCCCCATCCCTGGAAGTGCCCAAGGCCAGGCTGGATGGGGCTTGGAGCAACCTGGGCTGGTGGAAGGTGTCCCTGCCCATGGCAGGGGGTGGCACTGGGTGATCTTTAAGGTCCCTTCCCACCCAAACCAGGCCATGATTCCCTGTTCCTGCCAGGTCTCTGCCCCATCTCAGCTTTAAAAATCAACCTCTCAGCTTTAAAATCAACCAGTTGCTGTCTTGCCTTGACCAAAACAGTGCTCAGCTACTACAGAGTTACTCAACTGCTGCCCAAGAGGCCCCTCAGAGCCGAGGACACGTCACACCATGTCCCCTGTGTGGTGACACCCTCGTGACACGGGGCTGTCACCTCACACAGGTCACTCCAGGGCTGTGAACGTGCTCCAGCCAACAGTCTGGATTGCTGGAGATTACACAAGAACGTTAAAAAAAGGCACAACCATTGTTGTGTGGAGTAAAGAGTCCTGTGAGTCACCACAGATAAGGAAGCAACACTCATCCCCCTGTGACTGCAACAACCCCCTGCTTCCAGCTGCTCTGCAGTTCCAGGGGGTTAGTTCACACAGGGAAATTAGCTCAAAAGGCACCTTAAAAGACCCAGGAAAACTTTCACTCTTGGCTATTTTTAAGAGGCACTCAGCTATTTTAAGAAAATAAAGGGACTTACAGACTCAGGCTCTATGCTTGGCAGTGTTTAAACTACGGCTGTAATAAGGATTTAAGTCCTTCTGAGTAAACCCAGCCTGTGTCAGGCTCCTGCTGAACTTTGTGCTGCTCTGCATTATGAAAAGGTGGACAACTGAAGGATAAACCAGCTGTCAGCACCTCTCACACCAGGGCTGGTTCCCGAGGACAAGCACACACTGTCACCACAGACAACTCCTGGAATCAGCAAAACACTTGGAGAGGCACAAAAAACCTCCATTCCTGGGATTTATTAACACAGACCCCTGATTTCACCCCCAGCCCATGATGACACAATGAGGAGTGTGGGGATTGCTGTCTGTGGCACAGCCATCTTCCAGCCTTCCCAGAAAACAGAGACACCAGCTATGGAATCCCAGACTGGTTTGGGTTGGGAGGGACCATAAAGCTCACCCAGTCCCACCCCCTGCCCCGGGCAGGGACACCTTCCACTATCCCAGGTTGCTCCAAGCCCTGTCCAACCTGGCCTTGGACACCAAACAACCTCCAGAAACCATCTAATCCTGGTGCAGTGATCCCAAATTTCTGTGGGAGCAGGGCCATTGGATCCACGTGCCCTCACAGCGTGTCCATGTCCTGCTCCCTCGTGGGGGAAACAAACCCTTTATGGTTTCCAGACATCAATCCTGCACAGTGCCAGACAGGAACAGCCTCGAGCTGGAGGAATGACCTGGAGAATTCCTGGGAACACCTCAGCATTCCCTCGGTTTTCCTGGCCCTAATTAAGCACCTGCTTTAGGAGCTGTTACATCAGCCTTCCCACCTTACAGCGTTTTTACATCAGTCTGAGCCACCCTGGGGCACAACCAGGGCTGTGACGTCAGGTGGGATATTGCAGCCACATCATCCTTCTTTCACCATGGCCTGGCATTGCAGAGCCAAGAATTCCTGCTGCTTCTGCACCCCTGGGACACCCCTGGGCAGGGCCCAGCACTGCTCCCTCCCCGTGTCCTTAACCTAAATTAAGGGAGAAACCAAAGGTCTCTGCTGTAAAAGCACTAAAACAGGAATTATACAGGTTTTCTATTTTGATGACTTGTTACACCACGAGCCATTTACTCATATGAATGTTTGAGGTATCAACACTCAGACATCACACCTGAAAAACCACCCTGGACATTTGCAGCACCACAAAACTGGGGAGAGGATGAATTGCTATTTACCTGCATCCTGGCACAGGTATTACAGGGTTTTTAACACCCAAATTCTTCAAAAAACACGTTATATTTCCAGTTTGGTCTCAAAAGTCCAGTTCCTGAATACATCCCTTTTATAAACAACTGCTGAACTATAATATAAAATACTCCCTGAAATGGAAATGGGAATATTACCACAGTTTGTATGGAAACTTCAGTGGTCAACTGAAGCATGTTTTAACCATATGCCAGCTGTCAACGTACATTAACACTCAACACATGTGTGACACACCCAACACACGTGTGACACACCCCACACGTGCTAAACGAGTTCTTCCTACTCCAGAACACGTTAAGAAGCCTGCTCGGGTTACAAAAAAAAATCCCTAAATGTTTAAAACCAAATTCCTCCCCACAGAAACTGGTGCTTTCCAGGAAAGCACATCACAGCTCTGGAGTTTCTCGGGGAAAATCGGACGCCACAGCGCTGGAGTTTCTCTGATGACGACACCACGTTACACCCCAGACTGAGAAGAGAAACCGCATCTTAAAAGGAAAATTTAACTTCAAGTCTACAAAAGAAACTTTTGACAAAATTTCCCATCACGTGTCGAGGATGAGGCACAAAATTCCAGGGAAATAATTAGCACGTAAGCTCATGGAGGCAGATCTGGAATGCTGGAATGACCTCACCCACTCCGTACTGCTCGGAGCAATGTGGGTTTGTTGTGAGTGTTTTTTTTTTGCAGCCCCGAAACACACGAATGTAAAACAAGAATATACCTTTTTCCGCTTGGAATTCGCAGCTTTCTCGCCGGACAGAATCCCACGGTGCCCCAAGTCACCGAGCCCACAGCTGCGTCTCTCCAGCTGTACCCGGCACACAGTGAAGTGCTCGGCAGGGACCGAACTCGGCGTCCCTTTTTTCTCTGCGGTCTGAAAGGCTGCCGTGAAATTTAGAGGGTTGTATGGATCGTCCGAGGTACAGAACGAGTTCCAAAGTTTCAAGCTTTCTGCCTCATCCACGCTGCCACAGTCCCACTCGTCCTCCTCTTCAGAACTATGAGCAGAGCCTGAGGAGGATTCTGCCCACGAATCTTCTTCTTCTTCTTCTTCCTCCTCTTCCACATCCGACATCTCCCTTCCCGGATCGCTGGAAGATGTCTGAATGGTGGCTGTGAAGTTCTGAGGGTCGTAGGGATCCAAACTATAGAAGGAATTCCAGAGGTGAAGCCTCTCCCCGTCCTGGCTGCCGGCCTCTGAGTCCGAGGGAAGCTCTTCGCTGTCGAACCCGTCATCGTCATCATCATCACCATCATCATCCCAATCCTCCTCACCCTCACTCTCCTCCCCGCTGAAAACTCCCCCGATGATATAATCGATTAATTTATTCGCACACGCAGGTCTGGTCGAAACCGGGAGGTTTTGCTCTGTGTCCGAGTCCTCACCATCCCCTACAGGCAACACTTCCTCCTCCTCCTCCTCCTCCTCCGCATCCCGGACCCCCTCCTGCTCCACGGGCTGTCTCCCTGGATCCTCGGGCTGCTCCAGCTGCCCGGCACCGCCCCGCTGGTCCCAGTGCCCCGCAGCTTCCCGGCGAACGTCCCTGTGCTGCTGCTCCTCCTCCAGGCTGTGGTAGCCGTGGTCGGGGTCGGGCACGGGCAGGTGCCAGCGCTGGAGGAACGCCAGGCGCTTGCTGCGGAGGAACTCGACCTCGGGCACGGCCTCGGCCCGCAGCGGCTGCG